GGGGGGGGGTGGGTGTTTCTTTTTTTCCCCCCACATATTTTATGTGTTTAACTTGGAAGTTACTTTCGGTTCATTGTTTTTGTGTATGTGTTTTCAGCTGTTGAATGAGCTGAGTGTTGTGGAGGCAGAGCTGCTGCTGAAGTCGTCCAGCCTGGCAGGAAGCTACACGACAGGGCTGTGCGTCTGCATTGTTGCCGTTCTGCGGCGTTACCATGCCTGCCTTATCCTCAACTCGGAGCAAACCGCACAAGTCTTCGAAGGGTTTGTGGCAGCTACAGTTTTCCAACATGTATTTTTGGTATTCTCTCTTAAGCAAAAAGCATGTTTAGGCTGATGTACTGAGTGAGACCAGCTATCACAGTGCTGTTGGAAGGCTGTAGATGAGCCCGGCTGAGCTTAGTGGATGGCTCACCTCCACAGCCTGCTTCCCACTGCTGGGGGCTGGCGGAACCTGCACACTTTGTGACCTAGGAAAAGGGGGGAGTTGTGTATTTCCTTCCTGCTCTTCCCGTCCTGCCCTGGGCTCCCTGAGTGTAAGGTCTGTCATCATGCTGCCTAGCTAACGGTGGGATTTATTCAATACGTAACAACATGAGACATTTCTAAGGTGTATTGGAACAAGCTCAGAATGCTTTTGTTTTTGCAGGTTATGTGGGGTGGTAAAGCACGTTATTAATCCCTCAGAGTGTTCTTCCCCAGAAAGATGTATTCTAGCTTATCTCTATGATCTGTATGTGTCCTGTAGTCACCTGAGAAGCAAGTTTGGAGACCTCTTCAGGTGGGTGGTAATGAGATTTTTCTCACAACTGCTTAGCCTGTAGACTAATGTGGGCTGCTGTGGTTTCAGTTTGGTTTGCTTTCCATGGAAAATATACTGTTGCCTTTGCTGCTTTACCTTTCCTGATGCAATTGTCTGGCCTGTGGCAGCACAGCATGTGGCCCTGCATCTGCGAAGTCCTCACACTATGTGGGTATATGCTCTGGAAGTGCAGAGGCTGAGCCCACTGTACAGTGCAGGGGTGAGCTCAGAGGGCTGCTTTGCAAGCAGCGAGCAGGACATGGGGTGAACAGGCGAGGGATGCAGGGACCATTGGCATCACGCTGCTGAGGCAACTGTGCTGTGCAGCACTGGACCCTTCACCACACACCTTTGCTTTTACAGATTGTGGTGTGACTGATTCAGTTCCTATAATGCGTCAGAAAATTGGCTGTAATACATAAAACGCTGGATGGAAAAATAACAAAATCTTAGCTGACACAGCTGTAATATTCTATTAAATATTTCTTTTGATGTAGGGAGAGGCACAAACATGTTTGAGTTTGTGAAATTTTATGCTCAAATGTTCAGTTCCTGATGTTTTAGGTACCCATATGCTTTTTTTTGGCTCTTACTTTTTAAACGGGGGGGTTGTGTGGAAAGCTTTCATATGTAAATATGTATCATCTTGTGAAGTTTACAAACCACTTCAGTTACTGTTTCCCCGTCTTTTATATACCCAGTTTATATACCTGGTTTTGTTTTGCGTATTTCAGATTTGTGGTTTTCATTTCATAGGGAGCGAGAAAAGAGTTCTCAGTAATAACCTTAATATTTTAATAGGTTTACAAACACGTGGGAACTGTAGCATTTAATATGAGAAAGGTTAGGTAAAAGAACCATGAAATATAGAAGTACAGAAGTGACTTAGCTGTATGTTCATTTTTCTGACTAAAACCTGAAGTTCACTAACAAAACAAAAAAGATTTATTAATCCTAACCTACAATAGAAAATCAAAACATCATCTAGTAATATACAGATATTTAAGGTATTTAATATATTAAATATGTGATATACAGCACTTGATTTGAAGCCCCTTTTTTCTGATAAGTGGAGTTAGAAATTCTGTGAAAACTGGTAATAAATTTTATGTAAGCATTTTCTTAACAGCTGTGTATAAGGTAATAGTGTAACACTTGTTTTCTTCTTGGTTTCCTTGCTACAGTTGAAACAACCCCCAAAACGGTTGTCTGTATGTGGCAACTTTCTTTGCCCTGTTTCAGCACACTAAGTCCAGCTATTTCTCTAAGTCAGTTTGAACCAACAATGAATTACAGTTCTTAAATGTTTAAATATAGAGACTTGCCTTCTGTATATTGCTGTGCTTCGCAAATGGCTTCTGATATCATCTGCAGTATTTGTCATGACTGGGTTTTACTAAGTGAGGTGTATGTTTTGGTTTCATATGCTTGGTGTATTTAGTTGTATTCACTAAACTCCCTTTTTTAAATCATTCCTTCACCTTTTTTTTTTTTTTTTTTTTTAAAATCTTATCTCCTGACCACTCCCCCAGCATTACTTCTTGTGCAAATACAGTTTCAGAGTCTGCTTTGCTTACACTTTGTGTGTGAAATTTGTGTTCTTCATTAACACCTTTTTTTGCCCTGAAGAAAGCAAATTAACATACAGGCATTCCTAGCCTGGAACATATCTCGACCTTTTGTCATAAATATGGCCTTTAAGTATCTTTTCTCTGTTTACTGATCTAATCTTTCAAAAAGTTTTCTGCTATTTCTCATTATTACCAAATATAGAGTTTTAAATTTAGGTACATTTCCTCCTTTTTCCTTAATTAATTCTTTTTACCACCACTGCAGCTCACTGTGTGGTTACAGGAAGCAGCATTATGAAGTACTGTTACCATTCCCTTCAGAGGCGTCTGATACTTCAGGAAGTTATTGCTAGTAAGGAATGAATGGGTGGTCCTTGTCCAGGTGCTCACCATTTCAGTCACAGAAATGTCGTATAAGAGATTTGGAAACTCAAAACTTTATTTACAGGAAAATTTGAATTAAATCGATTTATCAGCCTTGTTTTCTGGTAGATGCTCCTTATCAAAAATGAGTTTGCAAGCACATACAGGATGGTAACCAAACTAGAATTTTCTAATGCCATGTGGCATATTAAACAGCATTCCCACAAAGTACTCTTTTTCACAACTCTCTCTTCTTTTGGTCCTCAGTAGTGCCTGTTCTAAGGTGAAGCAAACGATATACAGCAATGTTCAGCCTTCAAATTCCAATTTACTGTGGGACCCAGAGTTCATGCTAGATTTTATTGAGAATCCTTCTGCTCACAGCATTAACTACTCAATGCTGGGCAAGATCCTGAGTGATAACGCTGCCAACCGCTACAGCTTTGTCTGCAATGCACTGATGAACGTGTGCATGGGGCACCAAGATGCAGGAAGGTAAGGCAAAACCATGCCAGAATTAGAAATGGATGGATTTTTACAAGGTGTCTATGAGGTTTCCTCTCGCCTTTCTGTTTTGTGTCTCTTTGGCGATTGTTTTCATTCATTATTCTTTCTGGTTGCTGAAAATTTATTGTTTTCTCTAAGTTATTTCAGTAAATCAACCTGCACATTTTAACGGAAGGGAGTAACAAGTAGAAAGTACTCACTGTGAGGCAGTTAGTAAGTTTTTCATATGAGCAGTTGGGCTGTTTCAGCCAGAACAGCTCAGCACAATCTTTGCTCATGAGAAGCCTGTAAATGAGGGAGGGTTCTGCATTAGGTCACTTCCTTCTCCTGATGCAATCAGTGTTTCATTTATTAAATGTGTAATTTACTACTTATGGATTTCATCTTTGTATGCAGTATTAGGAGTTTTATTGGCTAGAAGTTACTAGAGGTATAAGAGCTGCCTGTTACGTTCTGAGAGTAGCTTGGGCCTTGGGGTACACAGTTCAAGTTGATCCCCCATGATTAGAATTTAGATGAGACCTGCACTTCCACAGCACTGCTGGGAGCAGTTTTCTTCCAACACCAGCAGGTGCTGGCTCCTGACACTGCCAGGTGGAGCTTTGGTCTGATCCAGCATAACGCTTCTTGGATCTGAAGTCTCTGTTAGATCTTTTTAGATGATGTGAAGATTCAGACAGGAAGTATAGTGAAGAACCCTTGCAGTAAAACAATATCAGTGTCAGGTTTTACACTGACACTGTTTCTTTCATAATTCAGGTGTTCTTCTCTCAGTTGCTTCCTCCTTCCAGCATATAAGCACATAAACTCGGCCTTCCTGTGCAAGTGAAGCACTGCAATGCTGAATGGTTCTACCCTGGTTTTCCGTTTTGCAGTCTGTGATGCAGGGTGAAACAGACACTAATTTGGCCTTTACCCCTGCCTCCAGCACCAGTATTGCTTTTACACAACTTGGTGTTCTGTTCTGATCCTGTTCCAATTTTTATTGAAAAATTCCTGGTCTTGATAGTTAGGCCTTGGTACAGTAGTAGCTAATGGCCATTTTTAAGGTCACTGACATATCGCAAAACTCAAGGAAATTGTGGATTTCTTTTTTCTTTTCTGATTGACTCCTGCCCAAAGTGTGTGCAGTTCTGGTATCCTTCCCTCTGTTCCCAGTATAAAGCCATCTCTAAAATGTCCAGAGCAGGTCCAGAGCAGGCCACAGAAATGTTTAGAGGGCTGGAGCAACTTTCCTGTGTAGAGAGGCTGAGAGAGTTGGGCTTGTTCAGCCTGGAGAAGAGAAGGCTCCAGGGAGATCTTCTTGAAGCCTTTCAATATATAAAGTGGGCTTATAAGGTAGAGAAGGATGTTTTATGAGGGACTGTAGGAACAGGACAAGGTGTAATGGCTTTAAACTGAAAGAGAGGAGATTTAGATTAGTTAGCAGGAAGAAACTCTTTACTGTGAGGGTGGTGAGGCACTGGAATGTGTTGCCAGAGAAGCTGTGATTGTCCCATCCCTGCCAGTATTCAAGGCCAGGTTGGATGGGGCTTTGAGCAATCTGGTCTAGTGGAAGGTGTCCCTGCCTATAGCAGGGTGGCTGGAACTAAGCTTTAAGGTCCCTTCCAACCCAGACTGTTCTGTAATTCTATGAAATGTGGGGCATCCTTGGCTGAGCAGAGCAGCTGAGAGGAAGCAGTTTTGTAAGAGCAACAAAGGGGAACATCTAAATGTGGCCAAACGAGTTTCACAGTGCAACAGAATAAAAATAACTTGCACTGGCATAAGTCAACTCTGCTCTGTTTTTTTAAAATGTTACATAACTCTGAATCATACACCGAATCACACAGTACGTGATCTGTGAAGTAAAATTCATCAATGTCAATTGATTCTGTGACTTTCCTTCCTCCTGAGTAGTAGTGCTGGCCTGGCACAGAGCGGGAGGGCTCCTGCAGTGGGATGTCTGTCACTGCTGACCTGGGCGCTGGGAGATGTGCACCACATGCACTGCTTTCCTGTCACATTTTTGCATGAAAGGGAATGGAGTTGCTGTTCATGTGGCAGCGCTGAGGGAAGGCTGGAGTGTGCCCCTGTAGCAGGCCATCTGCTGTGGTGGGCTGCAGGCAGCGGGGGTTGGGGTGCTCCGTCCCTCTTCCTGGGCTGTTCAGCACCAGCAGAGAAACTGGTGGGAACACAGGGTATACCAAGTAGGGTTTACACAAACTAAAGGCCCTCTGCTACTGTAGATTGGATGGCTGCAAGTTATGGGGTACAAGTCATGTATTGATTTTTTTTTCCTGAAAATGCTTCAGTTGTCCGTAAGTGAATAACAATAGATTATATGTACAGTAGCATAATCACATTTAGGCGTAAAATCCCACCTTAAGTGAGGAAACACAATTTTTTTCTGCACTGATCTGCTTTGACCTAAATATTTATTTTTTACAAAATATCTTGCTCTTGTATTACTCTTCTTCCCTAGGATTAATGACATAGCAAACCTCTGCGCAGAGCTGACGGCGTGCTGCACGGTTCTTAGCTCAGAGTGGTTAGGGGTTGTAAAAGCTCTTTGCTGCTCTTCAAATCATGTCTGGGGGTTCAACGATCTGCTCTGCAGTGTAGATGTAAGTTCAATATCTTCTGAAGTACCTGTTAAACCTATTTACCTAGGCTGCACTTAAGGGTGTAGTAAGGTTTCCATTCAATACAAAAGATGGAGCACAAGTTTGGTCCTGTATCCATTTGAGTTTTCAAGGCTTTTAATGAGATTCCTGATGGGTTTTTATTCTTTCCTACATCTTCAGGGTTAATATAGAATTTGGGCAGTGCTTGGAGTTTCCTCTTTGTAAATTTTTTCTTTTCTTTATTATAGAATATAGGAGCAGGCATGTCTGTATACTTTTCTAAAATGTTGAGAGATGTGCAAATAACTATCCCTATCTTATTTTAAATACCTGCTTTGGTGTTGGATCTTAGATTGTAGAAGGGGTGGTATACTTTTGCTGTTCCTTCCTCACCTGATGTAACTTACTGTAGTCGTATTAAAGTCAGCAGGGTTACGGTTACTTATGTTATCCATTATCCAATTCGATATATTTATCTATAGTTTAATTACTGATTACAGATTGAAGCTGTGTATATTTGGGACATATTCTTGTCCTGAAGCTAAGGAATGAGTATTGATGTTATCAGTTTTTATACAATGATAAAATTTTCTGAAGTTTTTATAAAGGTAATGCTTTTTATTTCAGAATTTGTGATATTTGAAGTAGGTATTTGTTAAAATTAATTTAAAAATGATCAGTATTTGCCGTAAATTATTTGGGAAATGCATTAAAATTAGAGACAAATACCTATGTGTAAACATTTTAATGTTTATCCTTAATAGTTGTGGCAGTGGTGTGTGTGCTGTTACGTGAACCCTTGCAATGTTTTTCCTTTCAGGTGAGTGACCTGTCATTTCACGATTCCCTGGCCACTTTCATTGCTATACTGATTGCCAGGCAGTGCTTTTCTCTGGAAGATGTAGTTCAGCATGTTGCACTGCCTTCTCTTCTTGCAGCTGGTAAGAAAATACTAAGAGAAAAACTTAAGTCCTTCATTTTAAGAAGTCTCCATTGACTGAATCAGTAGAGTGTTCTGAACTGCATTCTTGTATGGAATGCCACCTATTGTGTGTTGCAGCATGTGTGTCCCTGCAGCTCCCAAAAGGAGCAATTCCAAGCCAGATCAGAGAACCCCTGTGTGACAAGTGGTATCAGAGTTGCTGGCAGCACACTGTCCCCTTATGTTATGCATCTTCAAGTTTGCTCACAACTCTCTTCTGCTCTATGCTGTATGCTCAAATGTCAGCCAGATCTGCTCAGGTTGTGCATCTCCTTCTGGCATCAGTCTGCCTGATATCGCTTTTTCCCTCTAACCTCATTGTCCTTGCCTGCAGCCCTGGAGTACTCTAGCTGTGGTCCTCTTTGTTGGCCACTTCACATATTTCTTTTCACTTACTGCTTAGATTTCAGTTTCTTATTTCTGCTTTGACTGTCAAAAGCCATTTTAACCATGCATTATTTTCTGCCATATTTACATCTCTTGCTTACCAAAAATCATACTGTTCTTTCCTGGTTTTTAATCACTCAAGGCCATAAATGTTGATTAAATTTTTGTATTCCCATTTAAAACGAGGCTGTGAGGTAGAACATTTCCAAGTCTGCCATTGGGACTTGCAAGGTCCTGGGCAGATGCTTTATGTCCACATCCCATCTTCCATAGCCTGTGGAGATCCAGATGCTGAGCCTGGGGCAAGGATGACCTGTCGGCTGCTCCTGCACCTCTTCAGGACACCCCAGATTTGCTTCTTTCCCCAGGGAACAGGTGAGGTCCTTGCTGTGTGGTCCTTTCATTTCGGAAAGCAAACTCAGATGGGTTTTGATGGCTCATGTGTGAAAATACCATAGTGCAAATACAAATGATAGCCTCTTTAAAATTACAGATGTTTCACTAGTGAAAAATTGATATGTGCTATTCTTACTTGTTTGGGAAATGTTTTGTATGCATGTAAAACTACAGAAATTTTCTGAAACTTATTCATTATCAACATTTGGCCGCCAAGGTGTGGCATAATGTTGACATAAAACTCAGCCATATTAATATTACATCTTAAAAAAGAAAATTAAGTTGTAACATAGCATCTGTGTACACTTCAGCAAAAAGGAACACATTTAGAAGAATTGTTCTATTCTGATAGTTCTCATTTTGTTTTGGAACTTCATTGAAACCATCGTGTGAGCCTCGGAGCTATTAATACTGGTTTTGTGCCAGTGCTGCTGTTGGCAATGGTAGTAGCTACCACCGTCCTTCATACTAAATAACGTCAGGGCAGTGGTGGGTCATCCTGCAGTGATCTGGAAACCAAACATCACACAGTTTGGTAGCCTTGCATGTAAACTGAAACTAAATGTGATTTTTTAATAGGATGTAATAACTGCATCTATTCCAACAGAAGAAACATAAGGAAATTAGTTCTCAGGATATATTACTGTAGTTCTTTTTCTTTTTAAATTTGATTATTCTGTGGTCTGACCTGTGTGTGTTTGCCACAGACCAAAAGGGGAAGGAGTAGGGCACCTAACAACTAAAAGGAAGCAAGCCTGGAAATAACTTGTTTTTTGACTGAAAAGTATTTCAGCAAATATGATGACAAGACTATTTATATGGGAAAATTAAATCGGGGAAAAAAAAATCAGCTCTTCAGTGGTGTCAAGTTCTTCCATCTAAAAGTAATACTTATTTCTTTTTTGACCAGAAATCAATGAGCTTTTGTTGCTTATTTGGGCAAAGTAAGAGACATGAAGAATACTGTCTGAGTAACAGAGATGTGTTACATGGTCCCAGGCCTCCCAAGAAATAAAAGTGGATTTGAACAGATAGGAAAAATGATGTCTGAACTCTAGGAAGTAGTACAAATCAAGTAAAATATGACCATGTTACAGTCTTCTCTTACATGTGGCTCAGTTAACCACCCTCAGAAAGGTGGATTCATTCTCCCTCCCTCC